TTTCGGCCGCTTGTATCCGGGACCTCGTTCTTTCGGTCATGACCCAAAGCTCATGACCATAGATGAGGGTAGGAACGTAGATCGACCGGTAAAACCGGTAGAAAATATTACATCAGCAATTATTTTATTACCCTTTAAATTGATTTCTGGAGATTATCCAAGGTGCTTCATGACCCATAATTGGGTCCCAAGTCCAACTTTGGGAACCAAAGTGCAGTGGTTCCCAAACTTTTTAGCTTTTGACCCACAAAACAACAGTAGCAGAGACCTGTGCCCCCAGCTATTTTTGGGTGATAAACATTTGCATTAGGCCAACTAAACATGGGCATAGTAACAATATTTTTCTACTACATTTATCCATTTTAAATATACTAACCTCACTTCTTTGTAACAACTAAGACAAAAATATAATTAATTCAGAAAATCTTTTCAGGACCCCACCTTGATGTTTCGGGACCCCACTTTGGGTCCCGACCCCAACTTTGAGAAACACTGCTCTAAACAGTTAAAACTCCAGTGCTAATATTACTCAGATATATTAAGGGTTTCTTTAGCTTAAATGACAGCAGGCGATCAATGTAGGAGTTCAGTTGTTTGTTAAAAAGGAAAGGTTGGATTATATAAAAAAACTAACTTTCAGCTCAAGTGTCCTTCACTAACACTGAAACTATTTCACACTGAAACAGCTTTTTCTGTTTAACCATGAAGAAAACTTGTATATTTGGCACCACCTAGTGGAAAAACATCCCATGTGATGACCTACTGCAATCACAGCTTTCTATTGTTTTTATTCTAAAACTTTACACGCAGTTGTTATAAAACAAAAAGTCACCCTAAAGAAAAAATTTAGATTTACCTTTATTGGCATTTTACAGAGCAAAAGCTTTTTTATGTTATATTTTCCAAGCCTTCACTTCCCCCACAAATTAAAAATGATTAGAATCTGTGTTTATGTGTATATTTTTATATATGCCCTCCATGTATTTATCCATTTATTTTTCAGGTGAGCGGACAGATGTTGGGTGTGTGGTCCTGTTTTGTTGGCGTATATTTAATAAACTTCTAATCACTATTTCAATCTTTCTAATTACTTCTCTGTTTTTCTCTCTGTCTCTATTTTCTCTTCACTTAAAAAAGAAAAAAAGAATCTGTTTACAGTGATGTAAAAATGAATTGAACATATTTATTTTATAGGTTTTAATAGTTAAAAATGTTTGTTTTAAATCATGTCAAACTCAAGGTCCGAGGGCCAAATATGGCTTTAGTTAACACTTTATCCAGCCCCAAAGGTAATAATTTAACCCCTTAACAGTCATTGGACAACCTGGTTTAAAAAACAAAACAAATTAATAAATAAATATAAAAATAAAAAATACATCCAGAAACATTTTAAAGGCAAAAATGGCAGAGTTTTTGCCCACTGGTGGAACAAAGAAAGCAAAGAGGTAAAATGTGAAATAATTTGGTGGACAACTTTCAAACCAAAAAAAACAAGTTAATTTGTTATTATTATAAAGTGAAATAATTTTTAGTGTTTTTTTCTTGCTGTATTGTGTAAAGAACTGTAGCTCCAAGATATAATAAATAAAAACATTAATAGAGAGCAAGACATGAGAAATGAATGCTAATAATGAGTCTGTCCACATTTTATTGTTTTTCTTTATTCGTTAGGGTATGTATGCTCTAAACGTTACATATAACATTATTTGGAAAAGGTCGATTGTATTTCTGTAAGAATATTTTTTGTTATTGAACCAAAACGATTTAAATCAGCCTCTTTACAGAACGACACTCATCTATCTGTAATAAAGTTCTAGATTAATAAATGTAACTTTAATCTTCTTAATATAAAACTTTTATTGTTTCAGTTTTAAGACGGTCCAGATTATTTAAAGAACTTGTAAAGATGCAGCAGCTCCTCGTCACAAAGTTAAAAACCAACAGACTGGTCTTTAACTCCCACTTACTGTTTGTGGATCTTTGGCATGAAAGCTGTTCAAGCTGTCACTGTGACGAGCAAAGAAAGTTGCTGTTGGAATTTTTTTATTAGGGAGCTGATAAATCTGCTTTAGATCCAGATCTGAGAGTCTAAAAGGGTTTTGCACTTTCTGCATGAATTATCTGTAGCAACGTGTTCAGTTAGCAGTTCTTAGTTTTCTCCCAGCAAAGTAAGACAAAAGACTCTAAATAAATTAAATGGTTTTGTTTCTTTTGCACACGTATTTACATTTCACTTTGAGTGTTTAATGTGTTTACGCTGAGGCATGATTTATTTGATCAGGACGTCCTCAAACAGCAGATGTTCTGAAGACAAACAGGAGGCAGACAGGATGATGCAACCAGGACAGGAGACACGATCCAGACGCTCCTCAACGCTCCGAGGTTCAGAGAAGCAAAGGTTTGCCATCGTTTCTTTTTTTTTTTTTAACATTTCTCAAATCCAAACTGCAAAACCTCAGCAGGTCAAGCTTTAAATGATTCAGGAGCTTGTTTGTTTGTTTGTTTGTTTGTTTACGTTCTGATTGACAGTCGAATCAAATCTACAGGCTGGATTCCCTGCAGTGAAGTCAGGACAGTTTGAGCTGATCGGGGCTCTGCAGCAGACAGTTGCTGCTGATCTGAGTAAATAAATAAATAAAAGTTTTTACTGTTTGATGCTCAGCAAACCCTCCTGCAATAAGTTACACAACTAAAAGCACAGCTGCTCCTTTTAATAGCTGACCAAAGTGTTTTATATTCAAGAGTCACGTCTGCAGTTAAAAACAGCGACGTGTTTTATTTCCACCTGTCCTGCAGCTGGACAGACCCGCCCCGCCCCGCCCCGCCCGCACAGGAAGCAGCACCGTTCGGGGCGTTCTGATTGGCTACTTGGAGGCAGCCTCCCCGTCGGGCCTCATGCTGAACGGCTCCAGGCGCTCGCCCTCAGGCAGCATGTTGTTGAGGCGCTCCATCAGCGGCACCGTCTGGTCGATGCCCATCTGGATGCGGCGCAGGATCATGGACATCTCGTTGACCTTCTGGATCTGCTCGGCGTACTTGGCGTAGCGTTTCTGCCGCTCCTGCATGATGCTGAACAGGGTTTCCACCGACAGGTCCATCTGGACGCAAACAAGCCACAGACAGACGCTTTACAACCTCTGTCTCCACTCAAACTGGTTGTTTACAGGTAAACCAGGTTCCTACAGTTTAAGACAAGTTCAATTTAAGACTTTTTAATACCAAGGGAAATTAAATTTTAAGATCAATTTCACAATAAAAACTGTGGCAGAAACTCATGAATCAAAGTATTTTTGGTTGAATTATTCAAATATTGCTAATAGACCAATTGTTTTTTATCCAAATCTAACTGCTTTTTCATCAAACATAGCAAAAACCTTCTTAGCTGTCAGTTTTAAACTTAATTGCTGGAAATCCTATAACGACTTAAATTTTGAGTTTTAGGACCCACAGTGGGGTCTTAACCCCAATTCACTGTAGATAAAACCTTAAAGTGCATGTGACATTAAATTTTTGTAAGAAATATTAATGCATTTTTGGAAAGACAACATTATTAACATATTAGAAAAAAAAATTCACATTGCTCAGAAGGACAGTGGTTGAGATATTTGCATGTGAAATAACAGGAAGTGATGTCAAAGTATAAAAATGCATGTGAATATTTAAAAAAAATAAATGTTACCAATTATTTTAATATTTGAAATGAATTGCAGTCATCCTATTTACAACGTCTTAACATTTTTAAGACTTCTGAAACATTGATTTAAGACATTTTAAGGCTAATTTAGGCCTTATTTTTGGATTGAAGAATTCAACGCCTTTTAAGAGTTTTTAAGGATCTGCAGGAACCCTGTAAACACCGCACCTCTTTGATCCTTTTGACCAGGGCGTTCTGGTCAAAAGCCACGGCCTCTGCACACTGGTACAGGTGGTCCTGGTACCGGACGCAGAGCTGCAGAACTTGAGCCGAGTCCAGCCTCTCCAAACAAATGCTGCTCGGCGTCGTCTGGCCGCTCAGCACTCCTGCACCGAGGAAGAACAAGAAGAGCAAAGTTAAACCTTTAAAGCAAAAAAAACCTTCACAACAACGCCGCAGGGCTCCCTGCTCTCTGTGATCAGCCGCGCAAAAGCTGACAGAAACGCACAATGTGTTGTTTTAGGAGCCACACAGGAAATTTGGCTCATTATCTGCATTTTAACACAACGCTAACGAGTTCAGAAGAGAATGAGTTTCACTGCTCAGACTTAGAAAAGAGATTTTTAGAAAGTGATAATTAGATTAAATATTTCTGGGTGGGGGGGGGGGGGGTTAATGATGCAGCATTCCTTGAAGGAATGAAAATCATTTGCTGGCTTTTACGCCAGCTGTAAACTAAAATTATCTTCTGCTGTGAAATGAGTACATTTTGGTCAGACCTTCAAAACATTATGAGCGATCTCATGCAAAACCACAGGATGCCATGCTGAGACTTTCTGCTACTTATATCAAAGTTTACTTTAGTTTTTATTGAACGTAATGAATTTAAAAGAATAAACAAAGTTATATACTAAAGAAAAAATAAATTTAAAACAAAATGCAAACAAAAAACTAGAACAACAATAATGAATTATGTTTACACGTTCAAAGGACAGGGTAGAAGTTTAAACTTATTTTTTACACCCACCCCTCTTACATCTAAAACACAAATAATCCATAATTATGACTTATATTAACGTGGTTAGAATATTCTTTTTTAAAATATTTTCTACATCCATATCTTTAACTTAAACAAAACATTCATTTTTTCATAATTTTTAATACATTAACTTTTTTTCAACAAATCATAATACAGTAATAAGTGACAATTTCTTCAAACAAAACATTAATGATAGCAGCAATTATTTCTCATTTTGATATGCAGTGATGACCATCTTCTTAAAAGACGTTTTAAACTGTTTTATATTTGGACATTGCTTGATTTCCATACATAAAGCATTCCACAGCTTCACCTCATGTCCTGATGTACAAAAGCTTTTCTTGTGGTTCTATATTTTAAAATTTTGAATTCACATTTTTCCCTTAAATTATAAAGTCCTTCCTTTTTGAAAAAAAGCTTTTGAATGATTCTTGGTAAGGAATTATTTTTGCCTTTAAACAAAATAATAGCTGTTTGTAAATTCACTTTGTCAGTGAATTTTAAAAGTTTAGATTTCATAAATAGTGAATGTGTATGATCCAAATAACCAAACTTATTGATTATTCTTATTGATCTTTTGTGTAATGTTATTATTTAGTGAAGTTCTGTAGTTGTTGCCCCATACTCTGCACAATAACTCAAATGAGGCAAGACTAGTGAACAGTAGAGAATGTGGAGAGCTGTTTCCTCCAAAACATGTTTAGTTTTATACGTCTTCTGGACGGGTTCTTCTTTAATGAAACGTTTCGTCTCTCCTCCAAGAGACTTCTTCAGTCTGAGAGTTTCAGGCAAAATTCAGGCTTTTAAGCCCTGCCTCCATGTGACTGATACTCACATCACATGGCTATCGTTGACACCTAATTAACACCTATTGTTAACGGGGTGGAGTGATACTGGCAATAGCAGAGCTGTAGGAGGGGGACAACTGAAAACGGAGGCCTCTTGGAGGAGAGACGAAACGTTTCATTAGAGAAGAACCCGTCCAGAAGACCTATACAATTTTTTTCTTTTTGATTTTTTACCTGGATTACTGAGATGCATCAGGACATGTTTAGTTTTGTTTAAAAATAAATACTTTTTGACAATTTACTTTGTATATATTTAATTTGAGGTTTCCATGTTATTTAGCATCAATAATGACCCCAAGAAACTTATAATGGTTTACTCTTTCAATGTTTACACCATATATCGTTATTTTGACATCTTTATTTAAGTTAAACTCGTTATCAGTAAAACTGACTAAGTCAAAGACATTTTTATGTGTTCCTGTGGTCAGTTGGCTGTGGCAGCCATCTTGAAATGGGTTAGCTCCAAAAGTTAATCAGTTGCAGATGTACATCACTGATTCCTCCAATAATTTATGAGATATTTTGCTAACAGACAGACACACAAACACATGTGAGACAGAAAGGCATAAAACCACGCTAGGCAACACTAAACAGATAAACATCTTTAATCAGTATTAAAAACTTATTAAAAGATGTTTGGCACTGTTACATCTATGTTTTTATAAAAAAATATTTGATTTAAATCACTTGGATGCTAAATTAGATTATTTTATCAGAGCTCATTTTCATTTTTACATTAATAATTTTATCAGCCCTGCTTTCTAAATGAAAAGATTATTTGATTTGGATTGTTTGTTTCCCCAGAGACAAGTGTAAAGACTGTGTGCCAACAGTGTGAGGCTGAATAAAAGTTTGTTTTGGTGCAGCAGGAGGAAAACATGGCAGCACCTTTCAGAAGCGGCTGAAACGTGGGGATCTCCTGGAGCTTGATGACATCCGGGTCGTTGTGGATGCTCCTCAGAGCCTGAGTCCCCTGGGCCACCACCACGATGTCGTCCATCTTCGCTTTGTGTTTAGCTGGGGACGGAGCCGCTGCAGCGCCGGAAAACCATGACAGATAACGCAGGAGTGAGGAGGTTTTGAATGAAACCGTAAACAAATAAAATACGGAGGTTTCCCCTCACCTGATGAGCTGTGATCTAAATGTTTGTGCTCCGCATCTCCGCTCTGCTCGGCTCCCATGACGCCAGGTCAGACAGCTCACAGTGCAGCAGAAAAGCGACCAAACTGTCGGTAAATCCTTCATACAATCTAAACACAAGATGACTGCTGAGACATGAGAGGCGCTTCTAAAAGAGACAGCGGCTGATAGTTCACACCAGCTGCACAGAAGCAGCTAGATGTTCGTCTGAAACTGAATTAGAAGCTAAAAGATCTAAAACCCGGTCATCTGGAATAGTTCAGCAAAGTTATTAATCACAAAATCACACAGAAGTCTCGAAATCTGTTTACTTCCGTAAATAATGACGCCTCGTGACTCAATTTATTGGGACTCTACCGCCCCCTGCTGCTGCGGAGACCTCATTACACAAACAGCTGTCACACATCCCACAGGAAGCTTTTTTTATTCTAACAAGGTTTATTGATCTGTTAGGCTCCTACATTTATCTGTATGTACATATATACAATATATGTATATACTGTATATATGTACATACATACAGTATATGTATGCAATCATGCTTTTTGTACATCTGCTCTGTCTTCTATATTTTACTATTTACTGGTACACAGGTCTGGTTTTATTAAAGGGCCAATATTATGT